GGCACACAGAGCCTTCTTTCTTCCTCATGGAAAAGTGACTCTTTCACAGCCTGCCACAGGCAAAGGAAATGGAAAGTCCCAGAGCATCCTGAACCCCTCTCAGTTTCAGGGCACTTTGCCTCCTTCGTCCTTTCCCAAATTCAGGGACCGCGGAGCCTCTGCCTTTAGGCTGGGTCCTGCTGGGAAAACAGCGGCTCTGTAGCCAGAGGCCGGGCAGCACTGCCCGTTTTTGCCCGGGAGGGGAGAAGCCCCATGTGCTGACCTCCCAGCCTTGACCATGTCTTAGCCAGAAAACAGCTCTGCAGCCCCTCCAGGCCCTCCACGTCTGCAGCCCCGAGCAGAGGCGCGTAGCAAAGGCTTTTCTGAAAAGCTGCTGATCTCAACCCTGCTGGCTCTACATTCCTGCATGATGAGGGAGGGATTCCAGTGTTTACTTTGAACAATGTTTTCCTGTGTCTGAACCGACTGGGTGTTAAATTCTTCCAGATTTCTGGCTCCACGTTGCAACTCCAACGGGACAGAAACAGGTTTACGGCAGTTGGCAGGGGAGCAAAAGCGAGGTCCGTCTGGGTACCTTCTGCGTCTAGAATTTCCACTTGGTGGATGGAAAGACTGTTAGCGCAGGCTCCGTGGGCTCGGCGCCCAGGAGGGGTTTGCTGTGTTCTCAACTCAGAGCTTAGAGCTGTGCCTTTCGCATTTCCCACCCTAGAGGGCAAGAGTTAGCTTTTCTTTTTGGAAACACAGCAAGGAGTGAGAACAAGCTGAGCGCTGGAGGTCAGGGCTTGCAGTGTTTTTCCTGTTAGTATAAACCCAGAAGTCGGGCTCATAAGGAACTCATTTCGTGGGATACTCGGAAACTTGAGTGCACTCCGCTTACTGGGGCCTGCTGTGCGGGGAGGTTTCAGAGATACGGGGAGGTCAGAGCTGGATGGGAGACGAGAGAGTTCCAGACCTGAATCCATGTTTTTACACAGGAGGAAACTGAGGCACAGAGCGGTCTAGTAACCTAAGGACTAGAATGTCAGGCTGGAAAGACCTGTGCCCAACACATCTGGTTAGCTCTCTCAGAACTGTGCAGGTCGGGGATGTGGTAACCGGTAGCTATTGCCATTGTTTGTCGCTGAGGAAGATGAGCACACAACCACATGGGGCCATGTGAGTCATTCTTCTCTTTATTCAGTGTTGGTAAATCAATGGCTTTAAAGACACAGAGAACTTCAGGAAACCAATAGGATCAATTCAAAATAAAGGTGCTCTGTACTTCCACCGTGCACAGTGACAGTATCTTCATTCTTGTGTTCTGGGATGATGAGCAGTGCAGGGGAAACTCTCATGGGACCCCACAATGACTTACTCACTTTGGAGTGTTTGGTGAAGCTCCAGCCCCTGGGCAGGTGCCTGTCAGCCTCTTGAATCAGAACAGCCCAAATCCGAGTAGGGTATGGGGCAGACAGTAGCCTTGCAACTGTTTTAGACCCTCTATTCTTGGACCCTGGAAACCTGCTCCTGAACGCCTTTTATGGTGTGTGTGTGCATGCGCAAGCAGGAAAGGAAGATTAGTGGCAATCTTCCTGACTTCAGGATCTAGGTGGGGCCCAAACAGTATTTATGAAGTGGGGTTGGATAAAATAGTTCCATGGTAGAACTTGACATTTTGATCTGGCTGCTTTCACAAAGCCATTTTGATGCCAAGGACATTTTCACTTGGTCTTAAAAAAAAAAGCCACTAAAATTTCAGATTTCTATACCTCTCAAATAATGTGCAAGGCAAGCACCCTAGCACTGTCTCTGAGCCCCCTTCACACCTTGCCCCATCCCTCACTCCTGTCCTAACCCATCTGGCCACATCAGTATGTCTGCTGTGTCAAAATGGCCTTGTCAAAATTGGCTGTTAGTGGATGGCTTCATTTCTGTGATATTTTAGAACCATAAATTCTTTACTTACATATATTTCCTTCTTCTAGTAGAAGTTGTATTGTGCCCTAGAGATGGGAGTGGAATGGAAGGAGGAATTATGCAGTGAAATCGCTCCCACTTCTGGCAGAGTAGGAAGCCCTTGTCTATTCAGTCTCATGAGTGGGATTTTTCCTTGGGATGTCTGGTAAGGGCCTTGTATCAGACCTCTTGCTGTGTAACAAATTACCCCAAAACTTAGCTGCTTAAAACAAACATATGTTATCTAACAGGTTCTGTGGGTCAGGAACCTGAGTGTGACTTAACCGTGTGCCTCTGTCTCAATGTCTCTCCGTGAGGGTGCAGTCATGGTTTTGGCTGGGCTGTGGTCCCATCTGAAGGGTCAACTGGGGGAGGATCCACTTCCAAGCCCACTCACATGGTTATTGGCAAAATTAAGTTCCTCACAGGCTGTTGAACTAAGGGCCTCAGTTCCTTGCTGGCGCTTGGCTGGAAACCTCCCTTAGTTCCTTGCCACATGGCTTCTCCATAGGGTAGCTCATAATATGGCAGCTGGCTTCCCTCAGAATGAATGAGAGAGAGCAAGAGAGAGAGACCAAGCACTCAAGACGGAAGCCAAAGCTTTGTTGTAACTTAATTTGAGAAGTGACATCTCATCACTTTTACCATACTCTACTTGTTAGAAGTGAGTCACTAGATGCAGTTGGTACTCAAGGGGAGGGGTTTCATGAGGGTGTGAACACCGGGAGCTGGGGTCATTGGGGCCATCTTGGAGGCTGCCTGCCACAGGCCTTATGGGACCAGTTGCTGTTGAGTATTTGCTCAGCCTGTGGGCCCTGCTACCACAGCAGTTCTGATAAGCCGGTGGCTGTGAGGAGCAGAGGGAAAGGAGTTCCATGCTCACTCGCACTCCTCTTGGGAGGTGGAAACCTTCATTGGCAGAGCATCCTGAAGACTTCTCAGGGGCAAATAATTCTGAGTTTCTAAACTAGTTACACTTAACCTCCACTACCCTGTCTCATCCCTCCTCCACTCCAAGGAAAGCAGAAGAGCCCAAGACAGCATCCACCTCCTTGCTATGGTCTTTGTCACTCTAAATAAAGTTCCATGACACAGCTGTTCTCTCTAGAGCTCATCTAGTCTTCACCTTAGGTGCCAATGTTATTCAGCATTTTTGTTACCAAAATGAGCCCCCAGTCATAAACCAGAGAATTAAATTTATACCATTAATTCAGGATTCTTGGTGAACAGTTACAAGGATGTTTATGGCCCATGAAATACTTTTACCTGAATTAATTGGATCATCGTAACATCCCATGAGGTGAGATGTTTCTCATCCTGGATGTGAGGAAACTGAGGTTCAAAAGGTTGAGTTTCTGAAGGTTGGACATTGGAAGTGAAGCTGGATTTCAAAACCAGTTCTCCTGCCTCCAAAATCTGTGCTCCACCCTGCGTCCCCTTTAACTTTGCTTGCATACCTAAGTCTCCAGATTATTCCCAGTAGGAATCTGGCGAGACTTCTTGGCCCGATTTTGCTCATTAAGTCATTCTAGACCAGGGCTGCAGTGACCTGAGAAGAGAGATAGAACTCAGCTGGGATGGGGAATGTCCAAGCTGGAGGTCGCACGGCAGACACAGTTGGCGACTTTGGAGAGTTACACAGGGTGTGTGTGTGCTTGTGTGTAAACATGTGTGCACACGTTCGTGCATGCACATGTGCGTGTGGTTCAGAGACTCTTTCTCATCCCAGTAACTATATGGAAGTCCCTCTCAGGGCTATGTGAGCATATGTGCGTGTGAACACATATGTGGCTACAAGTGGACACGGATGCCTCAGATCCCCCTGGATCAGGGATGCTCTCCAGAGGGTGCCCTTTTGGTGAGCAGATGGTGTAAGTGGTATAAGCAGGGCTGTTGGGACCTGAAAGGTGGGGCGGATGGGATGGAGTGGGTGAGATGTGGAGACGGCAGTGTGACAGCGTTTGTGTTGGAGGGTCCTCTGAGCCCATCTTCTGCCCTCCTACTGCTCTGGTCTCTTCCCTGATCTTCAACTTATTGACCCATTTTTGGCAAGATGCGTTTTGTTACTAATTTCTCCAGCTTGAAAATTGGACCCCATTGTTTTGGCATTGCGGAAGATACCACAGTCCTGCATATTAATGATGATGATGACTGTCCAGCCAACAGGCTCATGTGCTGATGCCCTGTGCTCAACGCTTTATGTGAATTATCCCACGATAAAAATCCTCACGGCAATCCAAGGATAGTTCCTATTATTGCCCTTATTTTACAGATGAGAAGACTGAGACTTGGGAAGGTTAAGTATCTTGTTTCTGGTCACACGGCTCAGAAGCAGCTGGCCTGTCCTGAACTCCTGCTCTTAATTCTGTGCTATACTTTACTCCAAACAATTGTTTATTATGCAGCTTTACCACATTAGGGACTTTGGCTAATTCTCTTATCAGTTGCCCTCTTGAGATATTGAAATACATACACAATAGTATCACAGGCACACAGCGAGAAGGCAAGGAGAGAGCTGGTTCTCCTGCAATGAGGCAGGAGCTGGGATCTTAAAGGCCAGGCCTTTGCTGGGAGAGGACAGCCACACAACAAACTCCATGAGGGGCCCGTTCCCAGATTTTAAAAGTATTCGATGCATCCTTCCACCATGCCAAGGAGACACATTAAAGCCCTTGTTTAATTGGATTTCTGACTCAACAAAAACTCCTTTTGTCAGAACTTCAAAATTTCCTGGCATGTTACCCACACATATTTTCTATGTGGATAGCAGTTATGTCTCACTGTATACTACTTGTGTATATTTGTGCCTAGAAAGATTTATTTGAAACTAGTAACTAAATAGTTCTCTCCAATTTCAAAAGACCTCTGGAGAATTGATAATCGCTATTTTCTCTTTTAACCATAGGCAACAGTTTCCTATATATTCAACTGTGCATTTTCACCCAAACTATCCATATTAGTTACATCATATTATATTTTGCCAGTTTACCTTCCTCATTCCATGTTTCTCAGGAACCTAGTGAAATGAACCACACCAGGGACTTGCAAGAGCTTCCAGACAAGAGGAGAGAGGATAAGAGGAGATCAGAAGGTGGTAAGTCAGTCTGGCCTTGAGTTTTGACCATAATTAGTCCTCAGAATGGACAACATGTAGGCCAAGAGTTGACTGGAATTTAAAGATCTTACTTCTGAGCCTTAAGAAACATAATTTAGGGAAAGAGAGAGACATGTGCTAGAGAAGGCACAGAGGAAGGGAAGGCATAAGCCCACTTGGAGGGCCGCCTGGCCTCCCAAAATAAGTGTCATAGGAGCAGTTCTGGAAGGAGAGAGAAAGGGACTAGAGAGCAGGGGCCACAGGTCTAAATTTAGAATCATTCTGCAGGAAGAAAACATATGTCTGTGAAAAGGCAGTTACATCCACTAACAACAGATGGAAGATACGCCCGGTGCTGTGTCTGGTGGTGGTGGGATCTGTGCCTGTTTGGTGGGAATGGAGGGGACAGAGCACATGCTGGACCAGGTGGGAATGGAAACAGAGGTTTGGAGGAAAAGAGGAGTAGGACTTGGGTTGGAATTTGGTACAGTTAGGCCTCAGGGACTTTTCATATTAGACAGGGTTTCACTTCACCTTTCAGTGAAGCCTGAGTCCTGGACAGTCATGGCTCCCATCGCTGGCGTTCTTGCTCTTTTCTGGGCACTTCACATGTAGTGTCTCATTCGGTCTTCACAATAATCCTACAAGGGAAGTGTATAATTCCCATTTTACAGATTGGGGAAAGTTTAGGCTCAGAGAGAGAGAGGGGAAGTGATTTGCCCACTTAAAAGCAGGAAGTGACAGCTAGGATTTGAACCAGGCCTTTCCATGAGCCATATTTGTTTGCTGTATTTATTAGGGTAACGTCCCACCTTTGCCATTTGACCTTCTCTGGTAGTGGCTATTGTCAAGTCAGCTAGTCCACGGTTTCCTTTGTGTCCCATACAAGCATGTAGCTTTCTGACGTTTGGATTTCTGATAGTCCTTAGAGATTTCAGGGGAAATTGCTGTGGCAATTGCAGTAACATCCATTTATCTAGTGATTCTGACCCAAATTCCTGGGGACAGAGCAGTGAATGCGATGGGTGAGATCCCTGCTCTCATGGAACTGACCTTCTAGTTGGTTAAGGGAAAATAGAGGAGTAAATCATGGGAAATGTCAGTCAGGGATAGTACTCTGCAGAGAACTGCAATAGGAGCTGTGGTAGTGACTGGGGCTATGTTAGCAGTCATGGAAGGCCTCACTGAAGAATTTATGTTTAGGCTGAATCCTGACTTATTAGAAGTAATAATCCATGTGAAAATCAGGGAAACGTGCATCCCAGATAGAGAGAGCAGTTAGGGAAGGACCCTCAAGTGGGAACAAGCTTGGCATGTCTGAAGGAGAGAAGGCAGGCCAGTGTGGGTGGTGCCGTGAGTGAGGGGGAGAGTGGCACTAGCTAAGGCTGGAAGGGTACGCAGGGGCTAGATTGAGAAGAGCTTTGTAGGCCAAGGGAAGGAATTTGCATTGTGTCCTAAATGGAATGGGAACCATTGGAGTGTTGGCAATAGAATGATTTAATCTGATTTATGTTTAAAAATGATGACTCTTGGTCCTCTGTGGAGAAGGAATTGTAAGGGAACAAAATTGGAAGGAGGGAGACAAGTTAGCAGGTATTTACGAGTCCAGTGAATAGATTTGATGTCTTGGGTAAGGATGGACATACAGCAAAGTTAAATAATGGCAGAGGGTGGTGAGTGGAAGATAATGGATTGGGTATTCTAAGTGAAGAAGTAAGAGGAATCAAAGATAACCTTAGATTTTTGAATTGGGCAATTTAGTGAATGTTAGTGCCTCTCTCTAAAATGGAAAAGACCAGAGAGGAACATTTTAGGGAGTAAGGTCAAGAGTTCTGTTTGAACCACGAAAACATTGAGATCCTATTAGATACACAAGTGAAGATTAAAGATGGCACCTGAACATACAAGTTTGGACCCTGGGGAAATCCTAGAGGTAGGATTTGGCACATAGATGAGATGTACAGCCACGGAACTGATGTTACATTGGGGACGTGGGGAGAAAAACAAAGAGAAGCGCACCTAGATATCATCAATGGAGATTGAGAAGGAGAGTGGCGAGTGACATGGGAGGAACACAGGTCTGTGTGGTGTCATGGAAGCCAAGTAGGAAAATGTTTCAAGAACACAAGGGTGGTCAATTGTATCCATGACCATTACATCTTGGAAGGTAAGAGGTGAGGGCCCTGGGATGCAAGTGGAGACATGTTCTTTGATAAGAATAGGGACACTTCATCTATCGTAGTGGGAGGGAAGGCAGCATACACAGGAGTGCTTGGTAGGTGTGATGGTGGGGAGACAAAGGAGTTCCCGATGGATTCTCGGACTTTTCCCAAAGGAGAGTGAGATAAGGACATCAGCTGAGAGTGAGAGGGAGAAAGAGGAGATGAGGAGGTTTGAAATAGTTGGTTGGGGAGTGGAAACGTGAAAAGACTTGGAAAGTGGGGAGAGTAGGATAGGCTAGCTATGTTGACCTGACTTTGGGGTAGAGGAGCAAAAGTGTGGAATATTAAACAAAAGGATTCTGCAGCTAGAGAGCCTGAGTGCAAATTCTAGTTTGTCACTCCATAGTTGTGTGACCTTGGACAAGCTACTGGGCATTCCTATGGGCTTTAGTTTCCTTGCTTGTAGGATGGGGATAATATAGTATCTAATGCATAAGATTTTTTTGAGGATTAAACTAATTAATATAGGTTAAGTGCTTAGACTATGCCCAGTACATAGTACATGGCATTTTGTGTGAGACCAGTCAGCACAGTTGTTTTTCTCTCCCACATGTTTAGTTGCTGAAGTGGAGGCACCCAGAAGGGCCCAAAGGTTGGGTTTAACTAGTGCTGGGGCTTTGTCGTGCAAATATTATAGAGGGCAAAGGATAAGGTGGTTAAGGTTATTTGCAAGGGATTATAACAAGGGACCATGGAATGTAAACAGGACAAAGCAGGAAGCAAGGGCATGAAGAGGGGTGACTGAGACAGGGAGGTAGAATGAGTGGATTGGAAGAGAGGAATTGCTAGATTGGGAACTGCTTGGGGGGTGAGCTGGAAGGATAGAGGAGGGAAAAGTCAGAGTGGGGTGCTCACAATTGAGACTGTGGATGTAGTGTGGTTATTGGTGACAATAGGGACAATGGACTGACCATAGGGGCAGGTGGTGGAGATTGAGAGGAAGGCAAGGCTAATTGAGGTGAGTAGATCAAGGAAGGTCGGGCTAGAGATTTGTGTGGATCATTCATGAGATGATGAAGAAACCACTGCTGATGGTAGGAGTAATGGTGCAAAGGAAGCCAGTGTCTGGGAGCTAAAGTTGTCAGTGACTGAGGGGCAGAGGCCAGGTGTCAGAAGCTGTCAGCAACCGGGTGGTCAGGGGGTGGCATAGTCTGATGGCATGAGCTTCAAAGGAGAAGGAAGGAAAATGGTTTGAGAAAGGCACTGGGAACTAAGGAGGACAAGTACCCCTCCAGGTCCAACAACCTGTGGGTCGTGGGGGGAAAAACAGCCTTCCCTGGAGAGGTCTGCAGGGGGCGTGGTGTTGTGAAAGCCAGAGAGGTCCTGAAAGAAAGAGAGGCCACTTCCTTTAGTGACGATCCGACAAAGCACCGTTGGCAGAAAGTCCCAAGGATATATGGGGATGGGGATGTCTCCAAATTTCAGCTTCTTGTCCTCAGCTTTTCAGCTTTTGAATACAATTTTATCAGTTCACTCAAGGCTTTCGATCTCTGATGATTTTCTCAACATAATGTGGTAAATACTATTTATAATATGGTCATTTTTGCCTTCCTCCGAGAGCACAAGGGAAGGACAGATATCTTCCTGGGAGGGTTAGGGAAGGTTTCTTTGAGTGGCCAAGCTCTGCTCTGGGTTTTGCAGGACAAGCAGTTTCTTAGAAGTGGGGAGTGGGAAGAGAATTCAGGGCAAAGGCAGCAAGACATGCCAAAGAGTCAAGGCGTGAGAGCTTGGCGAGTGTGGGGAATGATGGGGTGCTGGGTGTGCGTGGGTCTGTGTGTGTGTGTAGCGGGGAGAGGGTATGGGGAAGAGTCATGGTGTTAGGAGCCAAGATTGGGAAGCTTTTCTGGGACTAGATTTTAAGGAATGTGCATTTTACCTTGGAGACTATAGGGAGTAAAAAGTTTTGAACAGAAGTATGACATGATCAGATCTTTCTCAGTTGGTTTCTCTGCTTAGAATGTTGTGCCTAGTGTAGTGCGTGGCACACAAGAAACATTCAGTAAATATTTGTTGGGTGATTATGTTTATAAATGATCATTCTTGCAGTCACCATGGAGAGGATGAGCTGGAGGGAAAGAGAACAGAGGTAGGAAAACATATTTGGGGAGTGGAGCCTGAATTTGGGGTGTAAGAGGGAAGGAGGAGTTGGAGTTTCTACTTTAAGTGTCAGGAAGGATGGTGATGCCATCGACAGAAACAGGGCATGGAGATGGCGGAGATGTTGGTAGAAGTACGGGGTGACAACAGGTACTGAACTTGGTTTTGAGCGGGTTTAAATTTGATGAAAAGGCAAAACAATTAGAGGAACTTGTTTAATAAGTAGTTGGAAATAAGAATCTAGTCTCAGAAGACAGATCTGTCCTGAACATATTTTGGTAATTATCAAGGTCCCAGTGGTACTAATGATATAGAGTGATGAGGCTTTAGGGAAGTGATTAATTTTGACAAGCTCAAAGGAAAATGACTAATAATTCAGGATGCCAATCTAATAATTTATAATGGGACGTATGCATATGAGCTATTTGATATATCAGTTTTCAGAAGATTGCTGAGTGAATAAGAGCAAAAGGGGCCACTGTCATCAAGTCATGTAGCTAATGAGCCCCCCCTTTCCATTCAATCGCTTCTCAGAGAACAAATATTGATGTTTCCAAGGCCATGGTTAGAGTTAGGGTTAAGGAGGACACTTTCAAACTTTGGAAGGATCTTTTGCACACCTCCTTTCTTTCTCAGTAGAAAATATGGGACACAATTTGACAATTTCTTAATGGCTCAGGC